GTGCTTAAGTGGTGGAGCCTCCTGTGGTGGCTCAAGCTGGGCGCTTGGCCTCGGGGCAGTCTCTGCCTGAGCATCACCCTGTGTCAGCAGAGTGCCTGAGATATGCGTGCTCCTGCGCTGGGGACCACTGGGGTCTTCTCTGCTTGTCATTCATTTTCTCTTTGTTGTTAGCTCATAAGCCTGTTAACTCGTATTGATTCCTTTAATTTCCAAAGGAAATTGTTACGAGGTTAAATAGTACCGACGCAGGATGTTTCTGACACACTTTTAATCTGTGTTTAACCATTCTGAAAAGCAGCATTGTGGTGAACTGGACCATGCAGGTGAAACAACCAAACAAGAAAAGGAACCAGTTAGCATTTTAATTGAGCATGTTATGATTTTTGCATACTCAAATTCAACTCCAACTTCTTCAAATCCATAATGCAAGTTTTTTATGCCTTGATAGCCAAACCCCCTGTCTTTTGCTCTCCTCCAGAAGCTTGCTGTTGGCCACTGGTCTTGGGGCACGGATAGCACATCACTGCTGGCTGTGCAAGCTGGGGTGATGCACAGAGTGCCTGGAAGAAGGCTCCCAGCTGCCTCATGCCTCCTCAACGCCGTTTAAAAGCGAGTCCTCACAGTGAGGAAAAATTTGGACTCGGACTTAAAATTTCATTAAAGCAGTTATTTAAGAGAAACTTGGCACAGCTGTGTCCACGGAGCTGCCTGTGGAAAGCAGATTGGGTTTTTTTGCTGGAAAAACCTCTGACAAATTCCAGAAGCTACAAATTTGTGTTTTGGAACTGGTGTTCCTGGATGATATTCATTTCCTTTGTCTTAGTTGTACTTGATGGTGGCTCACGAAGATGCAGTCAGAGGGTGTAGCAGATGGTGTTTGATGTCTTTTGAGCCACTTTCACCTCCGGCTGGGGTTTCTTGTCTGTCATATGTCTCCAAAAAGCCAGAGCAGCCATGCAGCGTACGTGATGTGTGCGCCATAGCGTGACCTAGAAAAGCCAGCCCAGCTGAGGGTCTTTGTAACAATAAATTGGAGACTATAAATTTGGCTGGCCAGGACTCCTCCGCGGAGCACAATGGAACCACGCAGCCACAGTCTGATGTTAAACTGCTTCAGCAGCTTTTCCCGTGGTGCTGTTTGCTGTAAGTGAAAGGCTTTGAGTATGTGGGACCGAGATAAAACCACTCCGCTGGCTGCTTGTGAAACCTTCTTCACTGGCCCTTTGACAAAGAGCATTTGTTTTCATGCGGGTGGCCAGGCAAGCAAACAAGTACCTAAAATAAGATTTGGAGCTATTAGTGTTGGAGGTGTTCGTCGGCCTCTGGATCTGCTGCTTCTTCAGTGCAGCCCAGCCCTGTTCTATTCAGGGGATGTATTTTCCCGTGTTCTGTTGGAAATGTGTTTTTTCCTTAGGGTTTTGTGTTTTGATAGTGTCTGTGGCTTGGTTTGAGGTTTTATTTTCTTCTTTATTTTTTTCTTTAGCGCCCAGGTTTTTATCTTGATAATTCCAAAGACCTTTCCTTTCTAATTGCCAAAAAATGGCACATTCCCTGTAACCAGCAGCCTGCCAGACTTTAGGTGGGCTGTTAAAGCTTTTGGATTTGATCCCAAAAGCTGTGCATCTCTCCAGTTTAGGAATGATGCACTTACATTTTTCTGACAAAAAAGGAATGATGGTTTATTTGCTACATTATCCCATCACCAGAAAGGCAATAAAATACCACGAGGCTGTTGCTATGGTCCTTTTTGTTCACAGGACTTCTGTTGAAATCAAAGGAGGAGATTGGATGGATTGTGCTGTATTAGGCATGTGATGCCCACTCCGGATTATTTACGTATGTATTCACCTCAGTAAAAATACATTTCAACTAAAACACAGCAACCAATGTTTAAAAGGCCCCTGAAGGCAGACTTAAATTGAAATGGAGATCAGGTCTGAAGTCCACTGAAAACCGTGGAGAGGCCTGTATGGCTTCAGGGACTTCTGGATGATCCCTGCCCTTCAGTTGCTCTCAGATCCCATAGATACCAGGATGAATTCCTGCTCCTGTTTAAATTCATCCAAGCTGTGCCAGTGAAACCAGGGTTTAATGCCAGACTCAAAAGCAGCTTTTATGGCAGGATTGCCTCCAGCCCATGAGAGTGAGTGGGGTCAAGTCCCTGTTCAACTTCCCCGTTGCATTGAAGGGAGATGGTGGACTTCTCACCATCCTCATTGGGCTTTTGTTTCAGTTTCTTTTGTGGGAGTTGTTCTGCTTTCTCTAACTAACCACTGGAGCTGAACCTGCAGCTACTGGCTTTACAACCAAGTTGTCCTAACCGTGGGCTGCTCTTGGTCTGTATTGGTTTGGGGGAAATTACTGCTTAAAGAGCTTTGGTCTGTGGTGATAAGGCAAGGGGAAGAAGATGTGAGCTGGGAAGCTGGCACAGCTGGACTCCTGTCTGCCATGGGAGTTGCCATCAGAGCCACTCGTTGCTGGGAGAGGTTATTGAGAGCATTTTGCAGCTTCCCAGGGTACCCCTTTGGGCAAGGTGCCTCGGGGCTGCCCAGTTTGCTCTCGCTTGCACAAAAGTTTTGGAGCTGCCAAACCAACACTGTTGAGAGCGTCACAGGAAATAAGTCACCGCAGAGCGGTGTTCCCTAAGGCGTGAGACCAGCAGACTGTGTCTGTTGTACTGTCTGCATTATGCAGCAAGGGTGTCTTCCCACTGCTGCACATGCACCTTAATTTATGCTATATTTAAGCATTTTACTGGAAGGCTGGCTCTCAGAGGCTCCGAACAGCTGCAGCTTCGGCTGAATCCACTGAAGTCAGCTGGAGTCGAGGGTGGTGTGAATTTTCTGCCTTCTAGTTAAATCCCTCATCATCTTGTTGAAGTCCAACTTTGGCTGCAGTGATAACAAGCTCTCTGCAGCAGCCAGGCTGGAAAACTCGCAAGATAGGGCAACATCTAAGTACTTATGCTCATTTTATGATTAAATTTTGGTAGCTTTGTTGATGAGCTGCAGAAGTATAGAAACAGGCAATTATGTGCTACCTTTTGGGTCATCAGTCTTCTACATTTGAAGGCTACTGTGTTGTGGGTATCAGATCCAGCAGGAGCATCCTGCTGGATGCTGGGCGCTTGTACACAAAGTCCTACAGTGAACTGAATGTTGGTGGTACCCAAACCAGAGCATAGCACAGGGTAACAGCAGAAGGGAGATGGGTGTTCGTCTTCAAAGTTCGCAGTCAAACTTGCAGATGTGTGTGTGACAACTAAAGATCAGGCATGAAAACAGGAACAGAAGGGGGAAAGGCAGAGTTGGTGTATTATTTCTGTAACAGCAGAAGCTCACAGTTGAGTTTTGCGTGCAGGGAAGCTATGGTACACCCTGAGCCTTGTGGGAGAAGGCTGGTGCCCCAACCAGTGAGATGAAATTATGGGTAGGACACAATATATGTAATTATTTCCTTCTACAGTGCCAGGAAGCCGATTACAGCCACGGTTCTTGTTGAATAGTGTCTTGCAGATTTAATGAATGCATTTGCTGTACCTGTAGATAAATCTTCATGAGGAATGTCAGTATGGGTATCTTCTTTGAGCGTTTCTGGAACGTGTCTGCTGAAAAGAGAGCATTAAATTTGCATACTCAGAAAAAAAAATGCAATTAGGCATATCAATGTTTTTCATTGGCAGAGAAGTAGATGTGTTGAAGTGTGATGGGTTTTACAGAATACACCCAGTGCTTGGGGGATCTTTTACTGTCATCAGTGTAGGCCACTTCAAAACGTTGGCTGTGAAGCTGGGATGACACATGCCTTTATTTCTGCATATGATTTCTGCCTGCTTGGGCTGTTTAAGGTTCTAGGGCAATTAAGAACTAAGTGCAGTTAAAAATGGTCTGAAGCAATTTCTAGCATATTCTAGATCTAAACGTCTTTATTAGTTCCAGCACTAAAAGCATTAGTTCCATGCTAAAATAAAATAGCAAAAAAGTGTTTGGCATCTTTGGGGTATTTTTTCCTTTTTGGAAGTTAAGGTCTTGGTATATGCATCACTGATATAATTTTCCACCTGAAAAGTAAAGGACTTTGTAATAGGCATGTTTCATGGATTTCTTTCTTAGACTTAGCAGTACAGGCTATGAGTTTGGAAGAGCTCTGCCAGGGGGAGTTCTCTACACTCTGGTGTTTGGGTCCTATGTTCCATAGGGCTCAGCCCTTGCATCCTTACTCAGCCATGTTCTCCTGTTTTTTTGGAGGCTTTTTCACTTTTCACACCCCAGGTCCTTTCAGGAGGTTGGCTAGGGCCTGGGATGACTGTTCTATGTCCATTTCATTTTGAAGAGGTCACCTCTCGCTTGAATTCCTGTTGTTCCTAGCTTGGGAGGTGCTCACCCTGTAGTGAGCTCCGTGTTCACTGTGTCACAAGTGCCACCTATCCTTGGGATGGGCTTCCCCTCATCATTATACAATTTTAACCTGACACATCACAATACTTTTTAGTAGCTGTCCCTGCATGACAAGGAGACAATATCTCTGCAGCTTTGACTGCCAAAAGGCCATTACGTACGTGCATCACACAAGGCATAGCCAGGTTCTCTTCCATATTTATAGCTTCAGGGTAAAGGTTTTAATTTTGTGTGCAGTTTGTTGGCTTTTTCATTAACTGATCCCGTTTACTGAAGAATGTAGTTTGAGGAAAATAGGTTTAAAACAGTTCATATACCGAGGGAATTTTGTACAGAGACTGATTGGATGGGTGGAAATGGGCTATTCTGCTAAACCTGTCAATTTTGTTAAATTACATTCCAATAAAATCAGATGTACAAAGAATGGATTTGTTGTTGTCCAACAGGAAACAAAAGAAACCCTTGACTCCAGACTGTACAGTGCAATGTTTTGAAGACTTCTAAATCATACTCGTGTTCTGATTGAAGAATTGATGATTCTGGTTTCTTCCTGGGTGTATTTTGGACCATGTTTCCTTGTCTCTGTATTTTTTTTCTTTCCAGACTGCTGCGGGAGCAATGGATCAGAGCCAAATACGAAAGGAAAGAGTTCATTCACAGTGAGAAGCAGGAGCCTTATTCTGCAGGTAGTGAAAGACACCTTTGGCAAATGAGTTTTTTGATGTCCAGTACCTTCCATTTTTTGGTCTCTGTTTATATGTTCTTTATATTGACTATTGCTTGTATGTCACTAATTAGGAGGAGAAAGTGTGTTCTTTTGGGAGAGATCCCTCCTGGCATTCCGTTTGATTGGGAAACTTAAAACCCAATGGCAATAAATGAGTCTTTCTGTTGACTTCCATGAGCTGTTCACCAACAGCAAGTCAGATAAACTATCAGTGAGTTCAGCTCTGGTAGCAGGAGGCATGAAGCTGGATTGGAATAGAAATAGAAGTGTTTGTCTCATCGAGGTGCCTTTTGCTTTGGGAAGATGCAGCAGGATTATTAGCATAGTTTGGTTAATGCTGGAGAAGTGTGCCAGGTCTTCCACAATTCCCAAATCTCTGTTAGTCTTTCCACGATACTTCCAAGTGTTGTCAGTGGGACATGGTCTCCTTGTAATACAACAAATGGACAGTGTTTTGCAATTGCAAAGATTGCAGCACGTGTGACAGAACTTGTTTCAGCACTCCCAACATAGTGAGTAGAATGACAGTGGCCTTGCAAAGGGGTGGCTAGTAGAGCGGTGGATTGGATGATTTTCCTGTAGAAGGGAAGGATTTGAAGAGGAATCATAGGGCTCGACTGTGTTCATTGTGTGGCTGCACCAGGACAAGAACTGGCATGAAACTGCATGAAATTAGCTGGGTATTTCTTTGCTGTGTGTTAGTGGCATTTAAATTATTCTGCATATCAAGTAGCTGACACCAGCTATAAGCTTGAACGTCTCTGGGATAATTATATTAGCAAAGACCATGTAACAGATTAAAGGTTAAAATATTATTTTCATGCTACTTTTCAAGAGTAATAATCATAGAATAGTCTAGGTTGGAAAGGACCGTTAGGATTACTAAATCCAACTGTTAGCCCAGCACTGCCAAGTCCAGCACTAAACCATGTCCGTAAGCACCACATCTACATGTCTTTTAAATCCCTCCAAGGATGATGACACCATCACTTCCCTGGGCAGCCTGGTCCAGTGCTTGCTAATGAGCAGGTAGCTCCAGCAGTTTGCTGCTTATTGAAACCACAGTTAGAATCTTACCACACGTATTCCCAATTTATGCTTGGAGTATTTCTGCTCTGCTGTTTTGTATACACGAGGCATGCACGTAGTGTGTGTGTGGGTATCCATATTCATACACAGTATGTTATGCACATTTTCATTGTAGATTTTCAAAGTGGTCTGTTAGAGTTGGACATATTCTGTTAACAATAATTTGATTGCTTAGATAATTTTGAAATGTATCTGCCAATACGTGTATAACGCTCACCCAGGAGTAATGTTTCCAATTTCGACTGTGCAACTTCTGGATATAGAAGCTTAGAATCAACTAGGTACTTTAGGCAAATGCGTGATTTTAAGCACGATTAGTCCTTTTGACTCTAAGAAGAGTGTGTACCTGGGTAAAGAGAAGTCAGTGCTTCAGTGAGATGTTTCTGTGTGCGCTGGGGCAGTTCTTGAATCGCTCGGGTGAAATGGGGGTTTTTCATCATTGTGTCATACACATTGCTGGACCACCAGTTTGCCCAGCTGGTGTAAACCAGTGCCATTGAAGCTGGTCTGAACCACGCTGTCTGTGAGCCCTCCAAGGCAGGCTGGTGCTTGCTGCTTGCAGAAGCTCAACCACATCACACATCCTCTGCCCTTCTCGCTGCTTGCAGGGGTCACTACGGCTTAGTGGCCTCACCAGTGGCTTGGAGGATGCACCCTGCATGGGGTGGACCTCATGCGCCTGATTATACCAGGCTCAGCATGGCTGGGAACCACAGTGGATCTGGGCCATTGCTTTCCACTAATGACCTCCTAAACTGTTTGTGGACCCAACAAGGCGGGACGGACACAGGGACGTCCTCCTGCCCGCACCACATCCAGTTTGTGTCTCAATGTATCTCTCTCTTTCTAGTGATGTCTTAGACCATTTTTTTCTTGCCATTCTGACTTCCCTGGGGGGGTGTTAGATTACCAGTTTCCAAGCATGAAACATTTTGTTGCTAATAGAGACGTCAGTATCCATTTTCTCATGTTTGTTGGAAGATTTAATTCCATTTTCCAATCCCAGGGGCAATTTTGCATTTTGATATTTATTCTATAATTGCATATATAAAAAAGAAAATGCTATCTTTGAGTACTTCTGAGCAGTGTCCTTTTCTAGGCAGCCTGATGAAACCCTGGTCAGAAATCCAGTGTCTTTCAGAAAATCCTTTGGGGAGGGACTGTCTGGAGCCTGTAGGTGCCAAGCAGAAGCTATCACAGCCAAACTGACAGACTTAGGAGAAACGAGTCTAGGGACAGGAGTGTCAGATGTGCAGGTCAGAGCTGAGGTAATCATACAGGGAAGTTTGGTAGGAGGATGCGGCAGACTTCAGCTGCTGGTGTAGTATAAATAAGAGGCAGGGTGTGATGCAAAGGCAACAGCAAAAGGTCTTGCGTAGCCCTCAGATAGGAAATGTCTGCCTTGTGAGATACAGAGCAATGCAAGGTAGCAGAACCAGAACTGGAAAACAAAGTTTGCACGTGCAGAAATCCCCGGTGTGGGCAACGATGAGTGTTGAAGCCAACTCTTGAGCCTCACTCTAGAGAGGAGCCGTGACTGTAGATCCATGGGTCTTGGCTCTGTCCCTGCATCTGATGCTCCCTCTCAGGTATGTGCTGTTACACATTGTCGTGGTTTAAACTCAGTCAGCCACGCAATCTCTCTCTCACTCCCCCACTTCTCCCCCCACTCCCGGAGGGATGGGGAGGAGAATGGAAAGAATGTAACTCCCGTGGGCTGAGATAAGAACAGTCCAGTAACTAAGGTATAACACAAACCACTGCTGCTACCATCAATAATAATAATGAGAAGCGAAGTAACAAGGGAAGAGAATACAACCGCTCACCACCCACCGACTGATACCCAGCCTGACCCGAGCAGGGATCCCACCCTTCCAGGTAACTGCCCCCAGTTTATATAGTGGGCATGATGTGCTCTGGTATGGAATACCTCTTTGGTCAGTTTGGGTCAGGTGTCCTGTCTCTGCTTCCTCCTGGCTTCCCCTCCTCCCTGGCAGAGCATGAGACTCAGAAAGTCCTTGGTCAGAGTAAACATTACTGAGCAGCAACTAAAAACATCAGTGTTATCAGTGCTGTTCCCAGGCTGAAAGTCAAAACCACAGCACTGCACCAGCTACTAAGAGGGAGAAAAAAATGACTGCTGCTGCTGAACCCAGGACACACATCTAGTCACAGCCACTTATCCTCAGTAGATGATTGCAGTGGAAATTCCTGTAAGGGAATTTTTAGAGAGTTTCTTGCTCCCCCAGGAAGCCTTGGAGCACAAGCCCATGTGCCCTGTTCACAGCTTTCAGCTCCTTTGCCCCCAGTTAGTTTTTCAGACTCTGATGGTTTCATTCCTCCGAAAGAGGCATTGTTAATGAGTATATTAGAACCATTGATTTTATTGTGAGTGGTCGGTTTGAGTTCAGATAGTGCAAGGCGATTAGATAAACAGTGATTAAATGTTTCAGTGATCCACTATTGATTCTTAGATACACCCTTTTATACATCTGAGCTCTTAATTCTGCTGTAGTACAAGCACTAAATAATTTGTTTGCCCTAGCCAGACTTTATGAAACAAAACATTATTTACACCCCAGCAACCCCAAATGACACTATGGTCCACGTCCCTTCCACTAGCAATACATGTGTTGCGCCACAGCACAGAATAATACCAGTTTTAAGACCCTCACAAGAACGTGTTTCAGATTGGCTTTGTCCCTTCTGTTGAATGAACTGGCTGAACTACTGTCAGTCACCAGCTAAGGATCCCTTTTAACAGAGTTTAATGGGGCACAGGTGCTGAATTCTCCAAGAGAGAGAGGATGGTGGTACCTGCTGTCAAAGTCTGGATCTGAGTCTCAAGGCAATCTAAAGGCTTGATAGTTTTTAAAAAGGTTTTGATCAGTTTTATAAAGCTTTTTAAAGGGCATTTTTCCCTGCTGTTAAGAGGCAGCAGTTCCAGCAATGCTTCCCTGAAGTCCTGCTGAAAGTCAATTCATTTGGGTGCTTTTGATTCCTCTTGATCAAATGTTTTTATTTTAAGCATGGGAGGCATGGAGGAAGCAAAAAGGAGCACTATTTGCAGGGCTGAAGCACTATAATACTATAAACTGGTCAAGGTGCAGCTGCCCTGATGCATCTCAGGCCACAGATGAGAAGAGAATGGGATGTGCATGTGGCCAGGAGAGAGCAAAAGGGAGTCGTTAGCTCCTTGAACTTGGCTTTGGCTTCTGATGGACCCATCCTGTTACTGCCGGGGTGCCAGGAGTAATTAGTGCCCTGGGATGAGCTGAAGTCCAGCCTGGGACTGTCGTGGGCAGGATAGCACATCTTCGTGTCTTTGCTGTAACGTTTGCAAATCAGGTGGGGGAACTCTTAGCACTTGGTGTTTAAGCTCTTAATGCTTGTCAGGAAAAATGTCTTGGCTTCACCATTAGGACCTGGAAGCACCTATCCAAGGATGGAGGTGGCTGGTACCATCAAAGAGGCCTCATGGGTATCTCTAGCAGCAGAGATGCTGGGCTGTGCAAAGCAGTTGCCACCCTTTCCTTGGTGAGATAGTTCAGCAATGATTTATAGGCTCTTACACCAGGGTGTAGGTGCTTTCTAGCACAATGTGCTTTCCAACAAGCACAGGGTAAGCTGGGTGCAAACAGCATCATAAAGTGCAGCTTTCTGCAACTTCGCTGCCAATGCTGCCTTGTGTTTCCTATAAATAGACCAGTAAGTCCTGTTGCTGTTAAATTTATCAGATGGTGGAAGAGCAGTTAGGAACAGGAGAAGAGTCACAGTAGAATACAGCTGATGAAAAAAGTCTGCTACCAGCTCTGCAGGCCGAATGATTCCCTTGCAATAGGACTGGGGAACAGCAGTTTTCCTTTGCTC